GGAATTTTCGAGAATGTTCTGGAATTTTCGAGAAAGTTCTGGAATTTTCGAGAAAGTTCTGGAATTTTCGAGAAAGTTCTGGAATTTTCGAGAATGTTCTGGAATTTTCGAGAATTTTCTGGAATTTTCTAGAATGTTCCGGAATTTTCTAGAATGTTCTGGAATTTTCTAGACAGTTCTGGAAATTTCGAGAAAGTTCTGGAATTTTCGAGTAAGTTCTGGAATTTTCTAGAATGTTCTGGAATTTTCGAGAATGTTTTGGAATTTTCGAGAATGTTCTGGAATTTTCGAGAAAGTTCTGGAATTTTCGAGAAAGTTCTGGAATTTTCGAGAATTTTCTGGAATTTTCTAGAATGTTCTGGAAATTTCGAGAAAGTTCTGGAATTTTCTAGAATGTTCTGGAATTTTCTAGAATGTTCTGGAATTTTCGAGAAAGTTCTGGAATTTTCGAGAATTTTCTGGAATTTTCTAGAATGTTCTGGAAATTTCGAGAAAGTTCTGGAATTTTCTAGAATGTTCTGGAATTTTCTAGAATGTTTTGGAATTTTCGAGAATGTTCTGGAATTTTCGAGAATTTTCTGGAATTTTCGAGAATGTTTTGGAATTTTCGAGAATGTTCTGGAATTTTCGAGAAAGTTCTGGAATTTTCGAGAATTTTCTGGAATTTTCTAGAATGTTCTGGAAATTTCGAGAAAGTTCTGGAATTTTCTAGAATGTTCTGGAATTTTCGAGAAAGTTCTGGAATTTTCGAGAATTTTCTGGAATTTTCTAGAATGTTCTGGAAATTTCGAGAAAGTTCTGGAATTTTCTAGAATGTTCTGGAATTTTCTAGAATGTTTTGGAATTTTCGAGAATGTTCTGGAATTTTCGAGAATTTTCTGGAATTTTCGAGAATGTTTTGGAATTTTCGAGAATGTTCTGGAATTTTCGAGAAAGTTCTGGAATTTTCGAGAATGTTCTGGAATTTTCGAGAAAGTTCTGGAATTTTCGAGAATTTTCTGGAATTTTCTAGACAGTTCTGGAATTTTCTAGAATGTTTTGGAATTTTCGAGAATTTTCTGGAATTTTCTAGAATGTTCTGGAAATTTCGAGAATTTTCTGGAATTTTCTAGAATGTTCTGGAATTTTCGAGAAAGTTCTGGAAATTTCGAGAAAGTTCTGGAATTTTCTAGAATGTTCTGGAATTTTCTAGAATGTTCTGGAATTTTCGAGAAAGTTCTGGAATTTTCGAGAAAGTTCTGGAATTTTCGAGAATTTTCTGGAATTTTCGAGAAAGTTCTGGAATTTTCGAGAAAGTTCTGGAATTTTCTAGAATGTTTTGGAATTTTCGAGAATTTTCTGGAATTTTCGAGAATTTTCTGGAATTTTCTAGAATGTTCTGGAAATTTCGAGAAAGTTCTGGAATTTTCTAGAATGTTTTGGAAATTTTGAGAAAGTTCTGGAATTTTCGAGAATTTTCTGGAATTTTCGAGAATTTTCTGGAATTTTCGAGAATGTTCTGGAATTTTCGAGAAAGTTCTGGAATTTTCGAGAAAGTTCTGGAATTTTCGAGAAAGTTCTGGAATTTTCTAGAATTTTCTGGAATTTTCTAGAAAGTTCTGGAATTTTCGAGAAAGTTCTGGAATTTTCTAGAATTTTCTGGAATTTTCGAGAAAGTTCTGGAATTTTCGAGAATTTTCTGGAATTTTCTAGACAGTTCTGGAATTTTCGAGAATGTTCTGGATCTTTCTGGAATTTACTGGAATTTTCTAGAATGTCCTGGAACTTCCTAGGATTTTCTGGAATTTTCTAGAATTTTCTGGATCTTTCTGGAAGTTTCTGCAATTTTCTGGAATGATGTAGAGCTTTCGAGAGTATTCTAAACTGTCCTGGAATTCTCTAGAATGTTTTGCAGTCGAAAAAAACACGGCAACCAAATTTACAGTAGGTTACAGAATTTGAGTTAATCACGAAAAAAATGTTACAAAAAATTTCTGTTGCGAAGCTTTCAGCTCAATTTTTTGTGGGCAGCACATAGATAGGCCTGAAAACCGTTTTTGAGAATTCCCTGAAGTTTTAGTGAGTTTCAACATAATTTTGAAATTTTCGATTCTCAACCCTATAGGTTCCCGATTAGCTAGAAGGCCCAGGACACCATAGACATGAAGCGCTCGGCAGTCCATGGCTACATACCACACACCACTATAGGAGTCCCACGCGCCTTTGAGTTATTCAAGTTAATGTCCGAGACGGACACACACACAGACACACAGAAAAGTTTCCTTAGTAAGAAGTAGATAGCCCACATAGAAAAGAAAAAATTCATTAGATGACGGTTATCGTAAGCGGGAGCCAGACGGTTTACGCCCCTTCGGGGCTAGTTTTACACATTAAAAGTTAAATTATAAATTTTCATTAAAAGTATAAATCTTCACAAAAGCATTTGAAAGTTCTGGAAACGAGAGAAGTTGGCTCAAAATTGGCAAACCCCAAATTGAATCGCGGCTGTGAAATGGACGCGCTATTCAAACCCCAAGAAAATCCCGACGATGCTTCTTAATGTTCAACTTCCAATGGATTTCATATACATACATAAAAACTGGCAAACTGGCAATCAGTCATTCAACAATAACATACAGTGGCGAGAAGTGTTGACAGCGGATCCTCAGTCAGTTGAGACCGATCCTACGTCCTAACTCGAGAGTGTCTGCAACCTGAAATGACCCCCAATGAAACCAAAAAGAAACCTTGCTGCCTTCTAAAACTGGTGCTAACAAACCAAAACGATGCCAAACGTAGAAAACTAGCTGAAAGGCTATAAAAGGTTAAAACGGGACCGCATAGCGGTCAGCTCTTGATGAGATACGAACACTCGCCGCAGCGAAGACTGAGTACCGTCTGCGACGCGGTCGTTGGCGCGTATTCAAATAATATTAATATTATTTGAGTGCAACAATGTACTTGTAATTAGAGAACGAAGAGAGATAAGAAGGGGAATGAACATGACCCGAATAAAGCGGATAATCTAGAGGGATTTTATGGGGAAAATCGGGAGACTCTGGGTTATCTCGCTTTCAGGTTGTCATTGTTCCAAGACAATGGGAAAAATTGACAACAAGAAGTGGTGTGGAGGATTTTTTCGAACATTCATAACTTTGTTCAAAGTTGCTCAATTGACTTGAAACTTGGCATGAGAATAGCTAAACAAAAACATAAAAATCGGTTTTTTGAAAATTTCTCATTTTCAGAATTTCCAGAGCAGTCTCAGGGTTTCTCGGCAACTTTCTGGAGCAGTTTGCAGATCTGTCGACTTTCTGGAGCAGTTCTGGAGCAGTTTAAGCGCGTTGCGTACCCGCGCTGCGTGCGATGTTTTCTTTTTTTTTAACTGTTAATTTATGTCTTTTGTTTTTTCAAGTTTCTAGCCAGAATCTTTGTCGATTTTTTATGAATGTTCTGAATTTTATACTATAATCGAACTTTCGTAAATACTGAAAGAAATGTTCACTGGAGGAAAAGGAGTCAACAGCGACAGAGTTCCGAAATCGTTGAAATCTATCTCCCAAACCACTTGCTTATTGGAGACATTGATGATAATGATGGGTAAGCTTTGAAACTTATTCACGTCTTACTGTATTATTCAGATTCGTCTCCTCTCTAGAAACCTCCGATTCACTGAAAGAGATTCTCCGCCGAAGAAACTCAAGAGAAGAAGCAAAGGGCATTATCAACTGTGCTATTGCCAGAGCAATGTGAGATTTTTTCTAGACCATTACATATGTACAATCTTCTTCTCATTCAGGAAAAACATTCGGAACTACCATTATTGTACCAAGACAGGGACTCTATTCAACTGCAAAGCTGGCGAAACCTGTTTACATCTAAAATGGCGACAGCTAAGAAAATTCAAAGATATATGCAGATCGAACAATGTTGATTCTTCGCACGCAACCCTTCAACAAATTATGGAATGGTTACATTAATATTTTAAATCGTTCAAAGTCCTATGTTTTCAGTGACGAAGCCACATCGCATCAAGGACCATCCGGATCAGCATCTTCACGCTAACCAATTCATCGTTACTTCATTTTTTTTCAATGTTACTTTTTTGTATTGTCATTTCATTCAATAAATGCTTATTTTAAAATTGTTATTTTTTAATGCGAGTAAAAAGAAAGGAAGGGAACGAACGCTCGCGCGGCAGCAGCTATGGCACCTTTCTGGAAATGTTTTTTAGAAGGACGCAGGAATGCCGCAGAAAGTTGCCAGAACAGCTGCAGAAAGTTGCCGAGAAACCCCGAGGTGTCAGATGTAACAGTGGTCAGCGAATCCAAAAAAAACTTTTTTTTCAGAATTTTTTCTGGCTTTGATTTTAGATGTCAAATGATTCTCAGTGTCCAAATATGCACCGAAAAAGTTTTGAAGAATTTTGGAAGTCGGGCTCTCGAGTTATGATGCTCAGGGCACAAAAGGTATGCGTCGGCATTTCTGCTTTAACTCAGCTGAAAATGTATTTTTGATGCTCAAAATTTTGCAAATGATGTGTTTTAAGTGGTTCATCAGTTTGATGTTAAAAGCTTTTCAATTGTAGAAAACAATTGTCTTTTTTTTCGAGAAATTTCTAAAATCTGAAAATTTAAAAAAAAACGTTTTCAAAAAAAGTTTTTTTGAAATATTCAGCATCAAAAATACATTTTCAGCTGAGTTATAGCAGAAATGCCGACGCATATCTTTTGTGCTCTGAGTTGGAGAACGCGACTTCCAAAATTCTTCAAAACCTTGTTGGTGCATATTTGGACACTGAGAATCATTTGACAACTAAAATCAAAGCCAGAAAAAAAAAACTTTTTTCTGGATTCTCTGACCACTGTTACATCTGAAACTGCTCTTAAAATTCTGAAAATGAGAAATTTTCAAAAAACCGGTTTTTATGATTATTGAATTTATAACTATTCTCATGCGAAGTTCCAAGTCAATTAAGCAATTTTGAACAAAGTTATGAATGTTCAAAAAAATTCTCCTCACCACTTCTCGCCACTGTACATTTATAAATCTAATTTATTTTTAGGAATATTTCTGAAGAACACCCTTATTTCACAGTCTTTTACAAAGTTCTGCCATAGTAGGGCGGGCGAGTTCAAGCGCCAGTGGTGATAGATGAAGTCCCAACGTGAAATAGGACAATCCAATGTCATTAAAATAGCGAACAGAGTTAGTGGTGTTATCCCGTAGAAATGTTGTATAGTCTATAAAATCACATCTGTGTCCACATCCCTTAAGGAGAGCGTCGTAGCGCTCTCTGGCGATTAGGTATCCATTTTCAATCGGTTCGATCACCAACTTCTGAAACAGTTTTTGATTTTTTCTAATCATTGAAAAAATTAGAACGTCAATTACATCAATTTCTAATGGCGTCTTTTTCTCTCGGAACAATTGTGCCAGCTTTTCCAAATTCGGAATACTTGGTCTGGGAAAAGCATGAATCAAAACGATTTTCTGCGACACACTCTCCATGTATTTTTGCAATCGATCTCGAGCCACCGCGAGCACTTGGTCATATTCAAGATTTGTTAGGTTTGCAGCTAATCGATTTCCCATATTCAGAAAGCGACCACCTAGGAAAAGGTAGTCGGGTTTTTCGATAGCAACCGCTTTGTGAAATTCGTCCAATTTTTTGATACAATGAGACTGTTCTGTTGGATAGATAGGTTCGCATGCTGTAATTATGTTATGTAAAATTCGAAAATTGGTCTCGCCAAACCTGGAAAAGTGAACTGAACGATACTTTTGGCTTTGAAACCACATTCGTCTTGAATTAGCGGTGCTAAATTGGCTGCTGTGGAGCTTCCGACTATCATGAATTTTGAGGTTCCGCCTGGGGGAAGATTCTGAAACCATAAAACATTTCGAGGTTTAAGAAATTCTGAAATTTTGGCAAATCTCGGAAAAGTCTGCGTTTTAGTACATTAACATTGGTATTCTAGATTTCATAGTAGCATTTCATAAAACCTATAATAGAAGGGCCCCGCCACTGCCAAGTTTGAGCTGATTGTTCTCGGCTCCTATGCGTGGTAAGGCGTCCACTGGTAAACTTTTTTCTGTATCATAATGAACAATTTAACAGTTACACTCTATCAGATAGCCATGGCACTCTATTGTTCGAGGGTGGTCTGGGGGTGGCACTCTATTAGGGGGTGGCATTCAATTAGAGGCTGGTACTTTACTGTTCGGAGCCAATTTCTACTGAAACTCATCCCAAAAAGACTCGATTTTCAACTCTTTCATAAAATGACTTTCGAGGTTTTCTTGATTTTTCTACTTATTTTTTAGAGACTTTCGGAGTCTGATACAATCCTGAAACATTTTTGATAAATACAGTGCCTCTTTCAAACTTGAAAAAAGCTAGAAAACTAGAAAATGATTTTTTGTGTTATTCTTCAACTTTTACCACAGTGACATCAAATCCGCAGTGGCATAATATTAGAAGCTGGCACTCTATTGTTCGGAGGTGCTCTGTGATAGCACTCTATTAGAGGCTGGCATTCAATTAGGGGTGGCTATCTAATAGAGTTTTTACGGTAATAACTTTTCCTAGCTTTCACAGAAACCGAGATAAATTGGCTGAAAGTTAAATATTGGGAAGCGCTGCTTATTCATTGTAAGGTAAAATGTTTGCAGATCTAAATCAGAAATTAGAAATATTGATGTCTAATTTTCGAGAGAAAAACCTTTTTTGATACTATTACTTTTTTTTCTAAACATATGAAAACTTTAGAAGCTATTATTGCAATTGTGTTTCAAAAAAAAAGACATGCAATTTCTTTGAAAACGAAATTCAATAACTCACAATACGGTTATGTATTCCCACCCAAGATTTGCTTCCGGGAATTTCCAATTGTACAAAATCGTTTTTCTGCCATAGCCGATTTTGAGCATCTACTTGATCTGAATTCGACATTTTTCCGCTTCACTTTTTCTTTTGAAACTAACCAAAACTTGTGAATGTAGCATTGAGGTATTGGTTGAAAACTTGGAACGATCTTAAAATTAAAAATAGTAGTATATAAACTAAATTAAAAAAAAAAACATACTCGGAAGAAGTGGTTGAGACTTTAAAGTGCATTTCAATCTCTTCTTTGTATACCGCCGTGAAGTTAAACGCGGCTAGAACTATCACGAGGAAAAATACACTTCTCCATCCAAGTTTTAATGACCACTTTTCAAACGACAAATGAGCAATAGTAGCTATAAATACGGCTGCAACCAAAGTTAGTGCAAGAACTAAATAGTTTGATTAAAAATTGAGATAATTTTTTACGGACTCATCGAACTGCCGGCACCAATCATTTTCCAGTAAGCGTAGAACGGCCAATGTATCAAGTATAAAGCAAAAGAGATATCTCCAAAAAAGTGGAAAACTTTGTGGAATGGAGGCTCGTTTTCAGGACAGCAATAAATGAAGAGGGCTGTGAAGCAGGTTGTAGTAACTCTGGGTGGAAAATTGGTAGTGTAATTAAAGTGTGACCTTGTAAGATCAGTGGGTTTCCATTGTTTTTGAAAGAGTTACCACATCAATTTTGATGGAGTTAGTAATTAGTGAAAACGCTTTCATTATTGAATCCAAGAGCAAATTGCCAGGGGTGCGCGCCGCTGCCGGCTGAGCTACGCGGTCGGCAGCCGTCTTTTATACCACGTATCTCATCTGGTAGCAACGCGGCACGTCCAACGCTTTGCCAAGTTCAATTCTTTGAGGGGCTTACATATACGAAAATAAAGAGACAATTTTTTTCGTAGTTCCTTTAATACAAGCCCACATAAACCGTAAACTTTGAGCTCAATTATCTCGGTTCGTTTTAATTGATTTGAAAAAGTGGTTAACTGATGAAACGATGCTGAAATAAACAAGATACCGTATTTCCTCTAATAGAAGCCTATGGGCTTCTATTTTTCAACCTCTCTCTCAGGGTGGGCTTCTATTAGAGGTGGGCTTCAATTAGAGGGTGTGCTTCTATTTTCAATGATAAATTTTTTAAAAAATTTTGTTCAAAAAATGAGATTCCTGAATCTCAAAATTTAAAATTCAGGAATTCTGTAGGTCAGAAATTGAGAAATTTTCAAGTTCTAAAATACCAGTCCCAAAAATTTGAAAATTTTTAATCACCGTATTTTCTCTAATAGACGCCCATCGGCTTCTATTAGATGGTGGGCTTCTATTTTTCGAAGCACCTCGCGGGGTGGGCTTCTATTAGAGGTGGGTTTCAAATAGAGGTGGGCTTCTATTAGAGGAAATACGGTAAGTATTTTATCAGTTGATCTATTTTTGATATTTTTAGAAGAAATTGAGCTAATTGAGTTCAAAGTTGACGCATTGGGTGGGCTTCTATTTGGAGAAAGTTTGGTAATGGATAATTCAAATTTAGAGATAGTTTTCGATTTATTCAAGTCTCGTATACTTTTATCAGGAACTGTACCTTGCAAATAAAGGATTCAACTGTATAGAGTACGAAGTTATTGCAATTGTTGCCAATAGCACAACATTGATATTATCATTGACTGCTCGATGATAATAGCATTCTTTTTTTTCTTCATTTCTCATAAACTCCAGAAGTGCTACCTCATCTTCGGACACTTTCTGGTTTCTCTGTCTCTCAGAAACTTTCAAATACACTATCATCCCAAGTACAAATTGCCATACTCTAGCAAGCACACTTTTAAAGGCTTCTTCAGGATTTGAAGCTAGTAAGTGATAAAAAAACGAGAGAACGCCTAAAAATCATGGTGGTTTTTTGGAACTTGTTGATAACGTAATATCAATTTACCAGATGTAGAAAATATGAGTAGTGTAAATTTAGGAGAAACGCATCTGGTGAGCAGGAACAAAATTGGTACCATGGTATAAAATTGTACTTCAACAGAAAGCGACCATGTGTGTGTGAAGAAGTCGCGGGCAGAAGAGAGCTAGCAAAAAAACTTGGTTCAAAATTTCCTTAAAATAAATTCGAAACCTTATTGAAATAATCGGTCAATTCTGCGAGACCAGGCTCGTTGGATATGAACATTAACGCTTTTTTGGCAGACCGTATATTTGAATCCATTCCGGACCATGTCAACTGCCAATGTAATCCCATTAAAACTAGAAGTATTGTTAGAAAATATAAAGGAACAATTCGTTTCATTCTTCGATAATAGAAACTTCCAATTAATATATACCATGAGCGGTTCTCAACTCTTTTGAGAAGCATACACATTAAATAACCGGATATTACAAAAAATCTGAAAATTTAAAAAATTAGCGTTTGGTATAAAAGAAAACGCCTTACTGATCAACGCCAAGGTATCCATTTGGAAAAATTTTTGGATAAAAGTGAAATGCTACAACTGAAATTATAGCGATTCCACGGACTACCTGAACATCTTGACGATGTCCAGACTTTTCCATTCTAGCAGTCAAATAGTTATTCTCGGTTTGTTGGATTGTATGTAAACCATTCATTCAGTCATAGATTAAAATCGTTCGACAAGATCCGTGTGTAGATTTTTGGTTTCAATTGGTTGTAAATAGTGAGCGTTTGGTGTTCTTTCAAAAGCCAGGAAATCCGGAAAAACAGTCGATGGTTATCGACAGTTTTTTGAGGCATCGAAAAAACTTAAGGCGCTCTGAAGAACTCAACTTCAAGCCTATTACCCAGCTCCCAAAATCACATCCACGGTGAATTGGTAGTAGAACAGAGCCAGATTGTTCCTTTTTCTGAAATGAATGAACATTGAATAGACTCGATTCCAGACGACTTACTTCATATGTTTTTAGAAGAAGAATATATTGTCCCCAGTAGATGGAAATCCTCCATAATCATTTCGTTACCTAAAAAAAAGTAAACCAACGAATCCAGTGGACTACTGTCCAATTTCTCTCACTTCGCACTTATGTAGACTGTATGAACGATGTATCTTAAGTAGACTAGCTCCCTATCTAGATGAGAGACAGTTTTGGAGTATGAATCAGCACGGTTTTAGAGCCAAAAAATCAACAGTTACTAATATCATGGAGACATTAAACGACTGGACCAATATGATTGAAAATAAGAGACAAGTTGATGTTATTTACCTAGATTTTCTAAGGCTTTTGATAAGATTCCCCACGATAGGCTTCTTAACAAACTACTAAAACTCAACCTGAATGCTCACTTGTTGATGTGGCTTGATGATTTTCTTTCTGGTCGTAATTATAGAGTAAAGGTGGGGACCATGCTGTCAGGTTCAAAACTAGCAACTTGCGGAGTCCCGCAAGGTGCAGTTTTGTCCCCAGTTCTTTTTGGGATCTATGTTAATGAAATATCGTCAATTCATTGTAAACAGTTTGCAGATGATACTAAACTATATGCCTCGATTAACGAAACGATCCTGACAACCCGCTGCAAAAAAGCATAGACTTAATACAAAATTGGTCTGAAAAATCCAAACTTCCTCTTAACGCAAGTATAATTTCGACCTACTTTTAAAAATTGGACTCCGCCCCTTTTCGCTTTCATCCGAAAGTTCAAATTATACGAAATAAAAATTTCAGAGGTTGCCTTCAAAAATCCGAATTTCAAAATCCAAGTGAACAACTTTTGAATGATTCGAATACAGTAAGATTTGCATTTATTAGAGATCCAATTCAACGATTCGTTTCCCTTTACATCGACAAGTGTGTCCAGTATGTATGTCTTTGAATAGGATTACTGTAGTTTTTGAAATTTTCAGGACTGACTTTTGTTTCGACTGTAATAAGGATATGAGATGTTTTGTTCGCAATATTTATGAAACTTTGAAAAACATTTCCAATCATAGAAATGAGAAAAAAAGAAAATTGAATCTACTGGCACTCCATTCTGCACCATTATCATGGTAGGACATCGGGATATTCGAAAACACAGAATTCAATTTTCAGGATGTGCAATTTTGAGAAGGATCTTGAAAAATGGGACTTGCTAATGATAGGATCGGATTTTGAGGAAAGAAAATCGCCGATTTTAAAGTTAGCAAACATTTTAAAACGACAAGGAGTCAATGAAACGACTGTGGAGAAGATTCAGAAAGAAACACTGGGTGGGTATCAATATACTGTTTGATCAAATTTCAAGTAACTTGAAAATTTGAATCTGGCTTGTAGGCGTTTCGGAATGCGTTTAAAAGAACGTCAAATTTCTCATTCTAAGCGCATTTAGACTCATTTCGAAGCTCTCATCATGACAAATTCAAAACTTCAATGATTTTTTTCGTACAGTTGGAGAGACCGATCATTCTACTCACAAATCATCACATCGTCAAGAAGCTGAACGTCAAATCCGTGAAGATCCGTACATTCGGGACCTTCTTCATAAAATTTACTTTTTTGATTACCTCATTTTTCCTTTTAAAAGAGATTTATTGGACCAAAAATATCAAACGAGTACCTGGAAACTCCCAGAAAAATCGACTTAAATGGTTTTTTCTTCGAAATCCTAGGCTTGTTTGTAATTATTTTGAACATCAAACATTTTTTGTTACGGAAAACTTTTTATTTCCAATTTTCCGTTTTGAGAATCTATATGTATTACAGTTTGTTTTATTCTTTTGATTCTTTTTTTTTTCTCCGAAAGGTATCTGATCGATATCTCAACCAATCTTCATATCTTCAATGGAATTAGTGTTCCTTAAAAAATATTTAATCTCCGTGTTTGATTTTTTTTTTGTGTTTGGTGAAAGATTCATAGAAGAGATCAAGATCGCATTAGGGAGGGCCAAAACGGTCCGACTTATTTGAAAAAAAATTAGGTTGGTAAGAAAGTTGCTTTCTTTTTGGAAAGGTTGTTTTTGAGCCTCGATTTCTGGTCTTTTAAAGGATTCACCAGGACAAACTTTTTTTTGGAGAGCTGTGTTAATTGTCTATTAGACCGTAGATTTGATGATTTTTATCTCACTTCGTGTTAGAGATATGACGATTCTTTTGGCCCTTACCCGACTGCAGAAAATTTTATTAAAAATTGTATTAAAATTCACACGCACATAATCGCGGGGGGGGGGGGGGGG